TGGAAGGAAAGAAGGAGCAAACACATGTTCACCAGATCACCCGCCAACCCTATCAACGGAGGTCACACACAGACCATATTTTTTAAGGGGAGGTGGCTAATGAAAATGCCAAAACTCAGTTCCAACCATTTTGTAGCCACTTTGTATGCATCAATGGATACATACACTTTAAAAAAGAGGTTTTGTGAAATAAAAAATTCAATTTTTATTTTTTTGTTCTTGTGGCGGCAAAAAATGGCGCTGATTCAGCAAAATTTCTTTATATTTTATAAACAGTGTTTCTACAAAACCAATAAAGATAGAAGCTTCACACTTGGTCTATATGTTATATATTGCTGGCTTCTCCTCCTTACAGAATCAGATTTCAAATATCTATCATACATTTTCCAAATTTTACCCTCACTTTGACCAATGTTCAGAATTCCATATTAGGCGATGCTGAAACGCAAAAATGCCAAATAACTCAAAACATGATCAATATTCAGGAAAAAAGCTCTTGTAAGGAGGAGGGCACTTATCTTGGGAATAATGTGTGAAAATTTCAATGAAATCTGACTGTTAGTTATTGAGATACACTTTCTATAAAGTTACCAGTTAGCCGAAAATGCAATTTCGAGAAAAACGCAAACAAAGTTTTCGAAACATTGTGCAATCACAAACATCTCAGTTTTCACTAAAATCTAACATTATTCAGCAACATACACCATGTTGACACAGCACAGGCCATTTAAAAAGCTTTTTTGACAAGTTTTTACATCAATTCCATGCCCCCCCCCCCCCCCCCCCCCCCCAACTGTCCTCTCATAATTCAATTATTGAATCTCCGCCCCAAGAATGTAAATTCTCATTTGTCTTTCAGTTTCTGTTCTTAAATGGGAGAAGAAGCAAAAAATATCTATGTAAGGTAATAGGACATTCAAGGGCTTGTGTGAAAATTTCAACCAACTCTGACTGTAACTTTCTGAGATCTAATCAAAATAGTGCCGCAGATTTGGCAGAAAAGTCATCATTCCGAGAAAAACGTAAATAAAGATTTTGCATGCTGACATGCCCGTCTAAATTTATATGTTAATGTTGCCATACTGAATTGTTTAGGTAAATTGAGTTTGTTGATAGTCTTTTCCACATTAAAAAATCTTTAAATGATTTGGCAGGTGACTGCCTTTCTTAGAATTAGAAGAGTCGAGATTTTGCCACCTCCCCTTCATTTTCTTCCCATGTGTTTTGGTTTTGCAATGGTGGAATCTAAGACTAAGCAACTTAGAAAGGCACACAGTAAGCTGGCACTACATGATGCTATCTAGATCTGTATATTTTCTCAATTTATTTTATCCTATAATATATATTTCTGCACAGTCGCTTCTTTCAATCTTGTTGAAGGGTTAACCGGCTTTGGGAACACTGGTCTCCGATTTTTAAAAACCCAATAATAATAAAGTAAAAAAATTGTTTTAAATAACACTAGGACTTAAGAGATTTCTATAGCTAGATCTACGCTAAACAGACTTGTTCACTGCGAACAGCCGGAGTGGCTAGGGAAGCCATCAAAACAAATTTATCCTAGATCTAGGTCTAGATTCTAATTCTATAACTTTGTCGATCGAGCGCAACGTAGATCTAGATCTGTAGATCTATACTTTGAATACCCCAGCCACATAATCATGGAAAGTACTGAAGGCTATTATGTATTATTATAAGTATAATCTCAACAGTTTAGATCCTGGGTTAGCTCACTCAAAACAACTAAGACTAAGACATCGAATCGAATCGAATCACGATCAGATAGACAGACGAGAGAAGACGAAAATAAATAAGGAGCATGTGTTCGGTAGGCCTTGTCGGGCCGAAATACTACAAAGAATTGCAAATGGAGATAACAATAATTATTCAGCCTGTAAACAAGATTTACTAGCTTTCAAATCGGCAACACGATAGAAAACTCTTTGAAATGCAGCTAAAACGTTCACGTTCTGTCTTGCGGCACGCAGTGTAAACAATGGCCCGCGAGGGGAATCCCCTTCGTTGCTACCGGCTCGGCGAATGAAAATTCACGGTCCGGTCACGTGACGGAAGTGGCCAACCGGTATTTGGTACGGGGTCTTCAAACATACCTAAATGGGCCCCCAGAGTAGTTCCGTACGAAAACGAAAGTGCAATAATCGAATAGTTCTTATCACTGCCTTTCCAACGATACCAAACTTGATTACCTTGCAGCAACGGAAAGTGTTGTTGTCAAGGGGTAAAGTTAAGCATTTCTTGACGTTTTGTTTGAATTTTTTTGTCCCCCCTACCGCTTTCAAATACATTTTTATATATATTAGAGGTATCTTTAGGTTTTGGGACCTTCACAAACGGATTCTTGACATATTTTTCTGTAAGAATATCCAAATACTCGAAGTTCAATTTTTTTTGCAACTACCCGATTTTCTAGGGGATCGAGACCCGCAGATCCCCTTAAATAAACATGGGTCTCACAACTAAGAATCTCAAAAAAGGAGGAACTTTCTGCGTGATCATGATAAAAGACCATTTTCGCGAGACAAAAGACACCCATTATTATCATACTCAACTGTTTAACTCTAGAATGCTGAAATAAAAACCATCAAG